GGGAGAGCAAGAGAGAGGAAAAGAGAGAGGAGAATATAGGACCACAGGAGCTTGGCAAGGGAAGACAGGATGAGAAGAGAGCAGTGAAGGCCCTCCTGCCCAGTGCCCACACAAGTAATACAATGTAATAACATGTAACGCAATGCATTATCATTATGGTAAAAAGAAAAAAAAGGTATATATATATAAGAGAGAAATTTGGTCCCCCCCAATGTTGACTCCATGGTTTAGGCCTTGGTGTACTGCAACAGTTTTCGGAAAACTACGCTTACTCCTGTTTCAGTATGCATGTATACACCAAAGAGGTAAACTTGAAAGTACTGTATGTACCCAGCCATCTTGTGAAATTTGAAGTCACATTCCTTCACAATGGTTTGAGCGAGGTACATCTCCATGAAAACATCATCAGCAACCCTTTTCCTTACCTCGGAACTAATCACTTTGTGAACATTTTTGTACAGACTTCGGGTTATGTTTCCTGAAATCAGTTCAGCAATGGGTGTTTTTTTATGTCTACTATAGAAGAGTTGGCTCTCTTTTACGTAGAGTTCTTGAAATTCTCCCTCTTCCTGTATTTGCTGCTGGTCTTCATTTATTTTGGTTGGCATTTTTCCTCTTTGTAGCTCAGGTATCTTAACCAGGGTGTCTCCCACTGGCTTCCTTCTCCTTTTAAATAGGTATTTTGCACTGCAGGGAGGGAATATTTAAATATGGACTACTTATTTTCTGGCTGTGAGGAGTTTTGATATGCTGGCTCTTGAAGGCAAGTATACAACAGGGATTTTTCTTTCAGAAACTGTTGTACAACACGTTGGTCCATGGTTGCATCAGTTTTGTTCCTCTCCTGTGACTCCTCCACAAAGACATCTCCTGTTCATCCTCTGCCTTTTTCTCTTCTGTGTCCTCTCCTGATACTTGTTCCTCTCCTGTAAGTCCTCTCTGTAACTGCATTGAAAAAGACTATAAACTCTATACTACATTCAGTAGTGCAACGATTACTGCACCATAGAGCCTCTAGCTGGTGTGCACATTTACACAAGGATCCAAAAGCCATTTAACCATTTATTGGGTGAGGTCGATGAAAGGACAGAGTACAATAAACAAATATGAATCAGTATCTTTTCATGTCAACCATGAATAAGAATAGCAACAAAGGTACATACGTTGGCTTATATGCATCCACTAAGGTTAATCATTGAAGCCTGGCTTTGGTCTTATTTATTGAAGATATAATTAAATACAGAATAACAAAATAAACCTTTCCATAGATAAAACAGAGGTTCTAATACTTTTCCCTAAACACCTTAGAGATACATTATCTAATGATATAGCTGCGCTAGATGACATTTCCCCTGCTTCCAATGAAACAAGCAGGAATTTTAGGTCATGTTTGATTCTCACTTAAAACACATTTCTAGGACCACCTTCTTTCACATAGGAAATATCTAAAATTCAAACATGTCCTGTCTCAAAAAGATGCAGAAACACTATACCATGCCTTTGTCACATCCAGACTTGATTATTGTAATTCCTTATTATCATATACCAGCAGTAAGTCATTAAAGACTCAGCTTGTTCATAATGCTGCAACACGTGTCCTGACAAGAACCAGAAGAAGAGATCACATTTCTCCTGTATTAGCTTCACTACACTGTCTTCCAGTTAAATCGAGAATAGAATTCTCCTTCTCACCTACAAGGCCCTAAATGATATGGCACCATCATACCTTAAAGAGCTCATAGAGCCATATCACCCCACTAGAGCACTGTGCTCCCAGAATTCAGACTTACTTGTTGTCCCTAAAGTCTCTAAAAGTGGAGAAGGAGCCAGAGCTTTCAGCTATCAGGCTCCTCTCCTGTGGAATCATCTCCTAGTTTCAGTTCGGGAGGCAGACACCCTCTCTACGTTTAAGAGTAGGCTTAAAACCTTCCTTTATGATAAAGCTTATAGTTAGAGTTGATCCAGGCTTGTCTCAGATCTGCTCTTAGTTCTGCTGCTATAGGTCTAGAATGTCGAGGGACACATGACACATGGAGCTTCTCTTTCCTCTCCTCCCTCCTTATCACATCAAATAAATTAATCCACATCGTGGATTATGATGGTGGATCGCGAATCAGAGATTGTGATCATAATGGCGGATCCTGTATCGTGCTGGCATCTGATCGTAGTGGTGGACCATAATTGAGGTGACAGCTGATGGTGGATCATGATCGTGGTGGCTGCTGATCATGGACTATGATTACAAGACTGCTTTATATACAATATGTTTACTCTAACAGTACTGACCATAATTCCTCAATTAATTTACCTTCCATCAAGCTACAAACTATTTGCAATGATGGAATTACTCTTATTTCTCTGACGTTCTCCATTACACGTGGCATCTATTGCACTTCTGTCCGTCCTGGGAAAGGGATCCCTCACATGTGGCTCTCTCTGAGGGTTTTTTGGTAGTTTTTCCTTATTCTTGTTGAGGGTTAAGGACAGAGGGCGTCACACCTTGTTAAAGCCCTAAGAGACAAATTGTGATTTGTGAATATGAATTTGATTTAATATAGATTTAAACAGATTATTTTTAGGTTATTTTATATAATTCTGCCTGGTCGGTAACAATATATCATGATTGGTGTGACAGCATGGTCTCAGACAAAGGGATTTGAAAGGAACACACCCAGCCCTTATATAACCTTCCCTTCTCTAATCTCCTCCTCTGTGCAATGAATCTGTCCACCTACTCCTGGTCCCACAGAATGGACATTCAGGCTTGAGATTCTTGAACAGGCATCTTCTGTTGTTTGTTCTCTGCTTTATTCTTTTGTTATGTTTCCTGATCTGATACTTGTTGTATCAAATCAGGGGTGGCTGTGGCTGAGGGGTAGATCGGTCGTCCTCCAACCAGAAGGTTGGAAGGTCGGTTCCCAGTCTTCCCATCTGCATGCCAAAATGTCCTTGGGCAAGACGTTGAACCCCAAATTGCCCCATAGAACAACAACAATAAAAGTGCTACTCTTGATGCACTGTATGTGTGTGTGAATGGGTGAATGGCAAACTGTAGTGTAAAGCACTTTGAGTGGTCTTCAAGACTAGAAAAGTTTTACATAAATACATGTAATATTGTGCCCCATGGTGGAAGAAGGAGACATGATTCGAGATCTTCACCTGGTGCTGAAATTTATTTTAGTTACCAGTCCCGTGCAGGTACAATCATACACACGGCCTCCAGGCCCAAGCTTAACGCCCCCTGAGGAGCATCTACCCTCTGCCTTTATAGTGGAAGCCCCTCCTACCAGACAAACCATAGAGACAAATATCAATTAACAAATCTCTATCAGATATGACATTGAAAAATATATATATACCCATCAGCATTTCACCCGACCTAGCCTGTCACAGAAATATCACACTATTATATTAGATGGGCATTTMAAAGAGCATTTCTGTGATATCATTCAAAACACCCCTGTGGACTGGCTTTTATGTGGTACACTCCAGATTCCCCTCTCCATAAATGGAGTTGGAATCTCCCACTACATGTTTGCCAGTGGAACCAGGACCCTGCATGAAGGTGAGGGAGGGTGGATATAACATCACAAACACATGTACCCAAAACATTTAATAACAATAAATGTTTGTGAAATAAAACTGTGTCGTTGAGATTATTTCTGACTATTGGTTGTGGACTCTGTGTATCGGTACAGTTTAGAATGATCAAATGGTTTGTGAGTACTAGTTTAACAAGCCCATGCTGCCTAATGATACAGGCATGCTAATGCTACTGATGTGTTTGCCACCTTATATCTTACAGGGCATGGGGTAACCCCATGACACAACCATTTACTTGTTCAATATTGTGAATCATGCTTAGAGGCAGGTCCTTTTTCCCACTGTCTTTAGTATATGCCTCTCGAACATGTCTCTCGTCCTCAAGTCTTCTGTGCCTTTGTCTTGCATACTGATGGCTCCTAGTCTCACTATCAGAAATAGTTTTCTCCATTACCTGAGTTTCATTTATTTCGGATTAATTCCCCTGCTGTTAACTAATCAAATCCCTCACTTCATTTAGATTTCTGGTCCATATGACCCACAGCCACTGTTTTTTTCCTGTGATCTGAATCAGCGCAGGTGAGGGCTGTTAGCTGATTGATCCTCAGGTTTAAAAGGCAGCAGTTGAGCTGCCTCATGGAGACACACATGGAGAAACATTGAGGATAGACCCTCAGGACAGGGACCACAAAGACGGAGCTGAAAAGCTAGTTGCCTTTAAGTTGGAGTTCATGAGCTTTGTTTGTATTAATTAAAATATGGAATGTTGACCAAGTGATTTGTCTCTGGCTGCAGTGGCGAGAGCCCACAGGCATGGTCTACTGTCTTTCCTTTGAGCTCTGTTTCCTTTTTTAACCTTTCCCATTGCCTCTCACCTAGAGAAAGGGGGACAGGCAAAGCTACAACCTTTTGATAAGATAAAGTGAGTTTGTTTAGTAAACTCTTAAAAAAGGGGTCCCAAAACATGAAGCTAAAGAAGACACTTAAACAAACAGTACTTAGACATGAGTCATTCTACAGAAACGTCCACTTTTGCACTTGGAAGATGTCTCACTTCATTGTATAACTCACTGACTTTATGAATTCACATAAATAACAGCTTAATGATTTTTTTGTGCATTTCATTAAAAAAAAAAAACTCATGTAGTGTCACTGGTGTTACTGGACTCCTGGCACTTTTAAAGGCGGTATGAAATAATTTTTATCAGTCTTTTTAGAACAGGAAATTGCAGTCACAGAAGAATAATGATAATGAATTTAATCAGGAAATTAAATTACTAAAATCAAATCAAATACTAAATTAGACAGTTTTATAAAAGCACTAAATATAATTATGAACTCCCAGGACCGCTGATCAATCTGAAGTGGCCGCTGATTCAATGCCAGGGGTTCTTTCTAGATTCAGACACATGATCTGGTCATCACTATACCAGTTGACATCATCTCTGGGGCTTGGCCAGAACTTATTCAGTCCACTGTGGTGCATGCAGTTGACTTCCACATTGTTTTCCTCCACTTGCAGGACGATGCCATGTTAGTAAAATACCTCTTTATGAGCTAAAAATAAATGGGGAACGCCTAGAGAAAGCCAAAAAGCCTGACGATTCCATTGTCACGGCGGTTTGGTGGCACTTTGCCCAGAATCTGACAGCATGGCGGCACAGGGGAACCTCTGCTAAAAATCTGGGGCCCCTGGGTCGTTTGGGGCCTGAACTGGGGCCGGTCAGACACTTTGAGTGAAAAAAAAAAGGCCTCATTGCAAGAGTAACCTCCTTTAGACTGTGGTATGGACAGTCAAACACCCCCCTCAGCAGCCTGACAGAGACAGCTGATATCCCTGTATTTGAGAATGCCCGGACAAACGAAGAGGACCTCATGCATTCTCATAGTGCCTTTAATGGTGAACAGGGGCCCTTGCCTTAAAGTTGTATCCCTCTTCTCAACTTCCCCCTCACTCATATAAATTCACCTTGCTTGATACCATCAGCAGCTGAAAAAAGCTCTGAGCAACAGGGATATCTTTCTGTCAACAAACTAATAAACCATCTGGAGCACCCTTTCCACCCTTGCCCCATAGAAGTTCCATGTCACTGTTGAGAAACCCCTCTGGTGTGGCTCAGTGGATATGATGTAAAAGTTTGAGTGTTTTTTATACTGGGTAGCTAGTCCATCACTGAAAAAGTGAAGGTTTTTGACATCAGGGTGGCCCTTTTTCAGGAGTTGAAGAATGGGGTCCAAATGAGCCCATATAGCTGGTGGGTCGTGCTTTCAGGTGGGGGAGATGGTGCAGAAGGGCATGGGGGCCTGGTTTTCCAGATAAATCACTCCAGTGTGGAGGGTCATCTGCTGATGTGACCCTGAAGTGCAATGACTGGATTTCATTGAGTATTTAAAAGCGTAATTTTCATTGTAATCAATGTGGATCAAAGAATCTTTGGCAGTGAGGCCCTCTCTAAGATTCTTGAATGCACTGTATTGCCAGCTAATATGAAACAGGTGTTTAAGTTAAAGAACCTGTCCTGGAATTGTGACACAAGCTGAACCTCTTTCACTGGGGTTTCTTTTTTGACGGTGATTGTACTTGCTCTTGTCTCTTTAATTGGCACTGAGAGGTGCACCTTCTACTGGCACCACTGGCTTAGAGTCACAACTGATCTGTTCAAGGGATAGGCAGACCTGAAGTTACAAATACCAAGCCTGTATAATTTCCATGGGTGTTACATTGGCATATCTCTCTGTCTCTCTACTTTGGTGAAACCTCCCAAAATGGTCTGACGGCAGAAGAAAGCATAGGAAATCTGTCTTTGCTCTGACACATTTCTTGTGGAGGTTGAGCAAAGAATCTGACAGTAGCCCCCTGTCTCTTAACCATCCTGAGAGTAACAGCGTTCGTCTTCCCTGTAGTCAGTTGGCTGACATCATCCCTGAGGAAAAATTGGCTGACAGATTTTTCAGTCTCATTTTGTATGCATTGCTCCTAGACTTTCTTTGTTTTTCTGATGGTTTGAAAATGACAGCTAATGAGCTTCTTGCAGTATTTTTTGTCTTATCTTTTGATTAGCTTCTCAGACAACAGTTGGATGTTGTGTCCTTACAGCTTTTGTTCTAGTGTTTCAGTGCTACCAAAACAGCAAAGTGACATTTCAGGGCTTTTCTGATGGTGTTGACTCGCTAACCTTGAAGAGGTTTTTGTGTTTTAACCATAAACTGGATATAAAAATGGACGTAGCTTCCGGCTCCAAAAGAAGAAGCCTATGCAGAAGTGCTTAAAAGTGTAATACCGTGGAGATCCAGCAGGGGCCGGCTCAACTGGGTCCAAGAAAACTTTGACATTCAAAAAACACCAATTTCTCCCATGAGAAAAAAAATTCCTAACGGTGATTATAATCTCATTTGCGACATAATGTCCTTCTCAATAAAGAGGAAACAATGGAACACACTTTTGAACTATGAAATATACACAATTATTAACCAAACAACCTTTCATAAAACTATTTACAATCAATAGGGAACATACTTCCCCACCATCCCCCTTTCAGGGCTACTTGTGGGACCTCTTTGTGGCAATGACTTGCCGAATTTCTTTATTGATGATCCTCATTTGTGCCATTTTTTGGGCTCAGGACTATTTTACAGCTCCTGAATGGACATACAGTGTACATATTTCAGGTGGGGGGATGCAGGTAAGTACGTGGGTAAGTAATACACTGTTTCATGTTGTGGCTGTTGTGCTCCATACCATATGATCACATGGAAAATGAGTGATTGAAATGGAAGATAATTTACCCAACATCTCCAGGATTTTCTTTGAAGCAATGGCCAGGCAGATGTTCAGGTCCACACTTGGCCTTGATGCTTTTCAGGCACATTTTTATTTCCATTAGAATTATGTTGACTTCCGAGGGGGCGTCATCTTCATGAATTTAAATTTGCTGTCAAATTTAAATTCATGATTCATAGGCCTGAACACCGGCGACAATGAGATGGCCTACAGAGAGGAGGTCAGAGCCCTGACATCTTGGTGCCAGGACAACAACCTCCATCTCAACATCAGCCAAACAAAGGAGCTGATCATGGACTACAGGAAGAGACAGGGAGTTAAACACGCCCCCCTCTTTACTTTTAAACTCCTCCCATCTGCCATAATTTGTCTCTCTGCACCTTACAATATTTGCACTACTTTTTAAATGTTTTCTTTTATGCATTCTTTTTTCTTTTTTTATATTTTATATTCTATTTTTATTTATTCCTTGTGTGATTTCTGAGCATGGCTAAAGGGGAGCCTGGGACTCAAGCATTTCATTGCCCACAACTGTTTAATGTAATTGTTGCGCATATGACAATAAACCCTTGAATCTTGTAGTCGAGAAATGTGACCGTAGCCGGGGTCAGGCTGGTCTCCTGGAGATGAGCCAGGAGCTGGATGGACTAGATGCACTGTATGAATGTGTGTATGTGTGAATGGGTGAATGGCAAACTGTAGTGTAAAGCACTTTGAGTTGTCATCAAGACTAGAAAAGCGTTATATAAATACAACCATTTACCATTTACTGCCTCCTCTTTGCCTCCTGCAGCATGGCGACCCTCTCACCCATGTTCAGTTCAGCGTGGGCCTCAAGGATGTGCCTGTCCAGCCGTGTGAGATCATACCCACACCCAATCAGCGGCCAGTGACAAGTGCGAAGGTTCACCCTCCCTGCCGCCCAGTTTCATTATCCACCGTTCCCTGACATTTGTCACTGAATGGGAGGTGAGCAGGTGCTTTCACAGCTGCTTGAAGCTCTGCAAGACATACAGGGCACTCAGGCATGGTGGCCTGAAAGAGAAGAAAAATATACTGGATTTAACACTCCTAGTGACCTAGTGGTTCTGGAGAAAATTAAAAGATATTTTTAAGGTTATCTATTCATTTGTATTATTTTATACTTCTATTATATATATATTATATACATTATATCTTTATATACCTTGCTATTATTTTTCTGAAACTAAATGTTGTAGTATAACCAGCAGGAGATGTGTGCCATGATTTTTTCTGAGACTACAGAGTATTAGACTAAAGTTATTAGTCATCTGATCCTAATATAAATTCCCCAAAATTACAGTAAGGGCAAACGCAAATCGTGGCAGCTCGTAGAGGCACCTCTGGTGGCAACAGAAACTGCCACTGACTTGTGGAGGCAGTAGCTGCGATTTGGTGGCAACTGTCACAGTTTGGGGGCAGTTGCCACTGCTGCCATCTTGTTTGAAGGCAACTACAGCTGTTTGTGACTTATTCCCTGAGACTTATATGTAGTTTCTGAATGTTTAGCATTGTTCTACTGTTCTGAGCACCATGAATAATTGATAATGTTGTGAATGCTTTTTCTATGTTTTGTGTCATTGAACCGAAACCTGAAATCACACTTCTGCCAGGCTGCATTAATCCCCAAGCTCTATGGTTGATATGCTGTCTAAATTGGTTTCTTTTAGAAACCTTGGATCCAAAGCTCCCAATGACAACTCATCAGACCGACTGGAACCCATTTTCCATATATCTGGAATACAACTCTGTTATTTAATCTCTCTGGATCAAATGGGAGAAACAAATCCACTGAGGTTTTTCAATCAATGATAAAAAATCTACAGATGCCTATTATTAACCTTTGTTATAATCCACACATGAGTAAAAAGAACTCATCATAAATGTAAACTCAGTGGTTATAAATATGTGTAACAATCTTTTAATATTGATGTAGTCTGATGTCTATTTAACCTCACTTTTTTAAATGCAGTTGTTTCTAATCTATACACCACTATACTTTCCATTAGTACTGCTTTTGTTATACTGCATGTTTGTTCTCATTTCATTGTTATCATCTGGTGTACACAGGTTGCTAAATGTCAGGTTGAGATTCTGATATTTGGTAAATCAGCAGAGGGCGCTGTTCAGACAGTTAGTTCAGGCTGTGCAAGAAAAAGAAAGGGAGGGTAAGATGGAGGAGAGAAAAAGACAAGAGTTTTTTGATTTCACTAAAGTCATGAGAAGAACCCGGAACGTGTTGGACTGCTGTCTTCCCTCACTCACACACACCCACGTGGCTTATAATAATGTCATTATACGTCTCCTGAGCTAGTGAACAATACAACAAATGTATGTTTCAAGTTTTTCAAAAGATCCTGGATATAACTAAATATCTCAACATAATATACTGTGTTCATGACTGAATTCAGCAGTTAGCATCAATGAACAGGTTCAACCT